ATGGGGTTGCTAGTCTCATGCTCAACCTTCCCTCTTTACTTGTCTTATTACTGGCTTAGCTAGATAAAGGAGTGAGTCGGCAGGGAATCGAACTCCGTACCACATGTGTGGTCGGCGAGCATTCTACCACTATGCCACCAATGCACCTTGTGCACTGTGGTAGAGTAAAATTCTCTTATGGATGGACGATTTCATTATGGATAAAATTTAGTTTTATAAAGTCTCACAGTGTTATACAGTAATATTTACTGATGACTACGTTTCGAGCACAATTTATTGCTCATAATCATAAGAAGGTACTCACATAACATTTTAATTTCGTTTATATACATGATTAAAAAGTTGTTTAGATATATGAATGAATAAATAAAAATCAATATAAAGTTCAACAGACATGAGTGAAACACTAATATTATTTTCGAATGTGTGCTCTATCTTCCTTTGTTTTACCAATGTCTATTGAACTTTATATTGATTTTTATTTATTCATTCATACGTCTAAACAACTTTTTACTCATGTGTATAAACGAAGTCAAAATGTTGTGTGAGTACCTTGATATGATTATGAGCGATAAATTGTGCTCGAAACGTCGTCATCAGTAAATATAACTGTTTTTGACTGTTACGTGGACGACACATTTGTAATAATCAAAAGAAACGAGTTAGATAAAACTCACAACTTAATTAACAACGTCTTCAACGACATCAAATTCACAAGAGAAGAGGAATCCGAGAACAAAATCCCATTTTTGGACGTCTTAGTCAAGCGAACAACCACAGGGGAATTAGAAACCCAAGTTTATACAAAATCAACTCACACAGATCAAATACTGAATTACAACAGCAAAAATCCAATAACACACAAAAGGAATGGTATACAAACACTATTCAAGAGAGCCAGGACTCATTGCAGCACTCCCACCTTAAGGAAAATTGAAGAGAGATATCTCATGGACGTCTTCCAAAAGAATGGATACCCACGAAACTTCATCAAAAGACAACTACCCCCAGCTCAACCAACCAAATCAAAGGCTACCAGCGAAAACATAAAGAAAGTCGCCCTATCATATATAAAGGATATATCAGAAATCACTGCAAGACTGGTCAAACCTTTAGGAATTGACGTCGCACACAAACCAACAAAGTCACTTCACTCAATTCTATGTCAACCAAAAGACTCAACAGCGAAGGAAGATAAAACCAACATCATCTACAAGATAAATTGTATCAACTGCGAAAAACACTACATTGGCCAAAGTGGACGGCCCTGCTCTTCGTCTTCGTATCCACAAACATAAGCTAGCTGTCAAAAGACATGATATCCACTACCTCATATCACTACATACAGACAACCACGGACATCAATTCGACTGGGACACCCAACGTTCAAATATTAGACAGAGGAAACACCAAGAATGCTAGAGAATTTTTAGAAGCTTGGCATTCCAGTGAATCATCAATCAATAGACACATCGAGAAAGACAAAATTTACCAACCAATAAGAAAGAAACCTCACACACAAAGGGTCAAAGTTCAAGTCAAAGAAACAATCAGTTCCAATACAAGTAGCCTAGAAGGTGTGAAAACGCACAAAAACAACCAATCACGTCCAAGGTCACCAGGAGAGATGACTAATAAACTTGTGGAGAAATCTGAAAGCTCACTTCAAATTGAAGTATGCGCTGAAGATGTCGCCTAGTAGGGCGATGAAAGCTTCGCAAATTAACTATCCAGCTCAGAGAACACAACCACACCAAAATCATCCACCTGAGCTACAAATCTTCTCTATCATATCATATCTAAATCTTACGAGCGGGACACGCTTCCCTCTGTTCGAAAGTAGGAAGACTTCGCCAAAAGGCAAGGATCCACCAGAGAACAATTATTCTTTCTCCATGAGTGCCTTCGTCATCAAATCCTACCGACCAGTGTAAGATACAAACCACCAGTCAACTGCCCAATGGGATGGAAATTGGCCGAACAATGTGGAAGACGAATGGTCAAATTAATGATTACAGACGCACATTATCGGATCAAGAAATATCAACAAATAATAGCTGTCCAAAAAGAAAAACTAGAGAAAACGCTCAACCAGGAACACCTGTCAACGCTGATCACCGCAATTACATTGTCAAGTAGAAAACACAGAGAACAAAGACGAAGAGTCCTCAAAACCAAGCTAGTCAAGATTAGAAAACAACAACCAGACAATACAGAATGCGTAGTCAACCTATCAAAACAACCACTATCAAAAATGGAACAACAACTACTACAAAAGGATTAAACTACAACACCGGAGATGCTTCGAGAACTGATTTGTTCGCGGCCCTTGAATCATTACTCAAATCATCAAACTTGAACGAGGAAACACAGGAAGAGATACGCCAAACAATTGTACCAATGGTCAAACAGAAAAAAGAACACACACAACTCAACTCTCAAGAACTAAAGGCCCTCAAAAAGCTGAAAAATAGGAAGGACATCGTCATTCTACCAGCCGACAAAGAAAGAACAACAGTAGTCATGGACAGAGAAGAATACACCAAGAAAGCTAAAGAACTACTCAAAGACGAGGATGTGTATCAACAACTCCCAACAAATCCCATAAAAACACTGGACAACCGCATCCAAAGGACCTTAAACAAGCTTACCAAAACAGGAGAAATCACAAAACAAGACCAATGGCGAATGAAATCCAGTGGACCAGTCCTACCCCGACTCTACGGCAGACCCAAAATACACAAGCCAAATATCCCGTTACGACCAACTGTATCACTCCCAGGAACTCCAGCATATAATTTATCCAAAGAATTGTACAGAAAATTAAAACACCTAACGGAATCTTGTGATCACTCCATCAACTCCGCTATCCGATTCCTAGAGAAAATCAGAAGCATCCAAATAGATGAAAAAGAGATAATGATATCCTTCGACGTCACAGCATTGTATACCTCAATCGGAGCGGATGTTCGAAAGGAACTCCAAGTGTTGAAGCGCCATAAGGTACCCGTTCCGGACAATCAACCTCCAGTTCTTTTCAAAGATAGTGGCGAGGTTCTCGTCATGGCGTTGAGTGGATTATTTTAGAAAGTATGAGAAAGTGAGGATGTTCCTTCAATGGGGAATGAAGCCAACACTGTCCCTATCTTTAAAAACGGTCGACTTAACACGTGCGACAACCAGTTGGCTGCTGTCTTGCTTCGCAGGCTGTGCCACACACGTGAGAAGTCGATCCGCGAAGAGCAGGCTGGGTTTCGTTCAGGACATGGATACGTTGATCATTTGTTCACCCTTCGTCAGTTGTTAGAACACTGTCACAAGTATTGATATTAGCTGCCTTCGACTCGTTGGAAAGAACTGTTCTCTGGAATTGTCTGTTAAAGAGGAGATGTTCCTTAGAAGTTTGTTAAGATCTTGAAAGCCTTATGATAGACCACCGATCAGTATGAACTTGTCTCTCGTGATTATTGATTACCTTAATGTAAACTCCCACCAACTGAGATTGACTTTAGATGAGTGTTGTATTTTATCATCTTATAGGTTTGTAAATGTAATTCACTAATCATTTTTTTCCACACATCAATACTGTTCGGTACATCTTTGTCCTTCCCTGAAGGACAGTTGCCTCTGTATTGTTATCTTTGTGTATTTGTATTATTTCCACTATATTTTAAAAACAGATAAAGTTTACATCAAGTCACCTGAGTATTAACTATAGTAAGGCCTAGACACAGTACTGATAGTGAGGACTAAAACCTATAGGCATATGTAATCCTACACCCTATACAGAAATACCCGAGGTAGAGTAAGGCCACTGTTTACAATCAACAGTGGCGTCAGACACGATTGCCCAATCTCTCCACCTCTCTATAACTTTGTAAACGATGACATTCTGGAGTCAGCTCTGAAGGAAGTGAGTAGTGTAGACCTACTTCCTGTAGAAAGACTTCAACGTTGAGTATGCAGACGACATCTTCTTACTGTGCGATAGCACACAGGCTGCCAAAATCGCACTTAATCATTGTCTGTGAGTATGGTATTTTCTTTGCACTGTCTAAGTGCAAGGTATTGTTACAAGATTGGCGGGAGCCTGTACCTGCACTAACTCTTGCAGGTGAACTTCTTGAAGTTGTCGATAAGTTTGTGTATCTAGTTAGTTGCGTGAGTCCTGGCGGAGGTGTGATGGTCGAGATCTCCAACTGTGTCATGAAAGCTAGGGTGGCGTATGTCACCTTGAGACACCTCTGGCGCCATCAGCCCGGTTGCCAAAGGTCGGATTTACAATGCTTCGGTGCGCGCGGTCTTGCTCTACGCCTGTCAAACCTATCTCTCCGAGCTGAGGATGTACAGTAACTCTGAGGTCCGGCGGCGTGTGTTTAGACACAGTGGAGATCACCCTTCGTTGAGTGTCGTCATTTGGAAACACAGGCCCCGGTGACCCAGACATGTGCTACGAGTGTTATCCCAGAGTCTCCCGTACCGGTCTATGCTCGCTAGCCCCAGGATGGGATGGAAAAAGTGGAGAGGCAGTCATCCCATGACGTGGCGTAGGGGGATGAAGGATATTTGTGTTAGGTTAGCATCGTTTGGTGTGCGAGAGATAGCTCGAATCGGTGGGTCGAAATGTTGTCGGATATGGCCAAGAATCGCAATCAATGGCCAATGTGCTGCAATTTCCTTCTCTTTCCAATTTCTGACAATAATTCGACGAATGCTTTCTCGTCTTGCTAGATGTAGCTGCTTCCTTTCCGGATGTATTCCTTTATTCATCCTCTATGTATTTTGTTTTACTATTATTATTATTATTATCATCGTGTGGCGCATCTTCTTGGTGCGGATATTGTAACAGGCTTTCTGTTTTAAATAAATTTAATAATAATAATGAGATGCCTCATTCATATCACTATCCTAATAACCATGCCTTAGAGTTCACACGGAAACACCAAAACGATAAAGGAGAATACTTTCAGCTTAAAAAGCAATGAGAAATAAGACTAGGAAAATATTGATAAGATCTATTCTTTCCTTTATTTTTCAAATTAAATTAAATATTTCCATGAAATAATTCAAAATAATAAACACAACAACAAATACTAACGAAAATATTAACAATAGTAGTAATAACAATGTCAGACAATAAATAATAATAATAATATGGCAATATAAATCAGATTGGCATAAGGGTCAGAGTAATGGTTACAATCATCATCACAACGCACAATTACTGAATGGGAATAAATTTTGAAATGTCAACTCAAAAAGAAAAGCAACAACAGACAACAGAGATAGATAAATAAATACATGAATGTGTGCATATATACGATATTTACAGGATTATTTAAAGCATAATTAACACGAGGTTGTTTCACAGTTACCATTAGATTGATGCTTTGAATTATTCAGCATTATTTCATCAGTATTATCATCATTACCATCGTTATTCAGTTTATCACCGTTAACCTCTGATAATTTCACTGGTACACAGTTGTTATCAGTGCTACTAGTGATGTTAAGTGATTGAAATTTATTTAGGATGTCAATGATAGATTGTCTATTTATACAGGTACCGTTGTTTTCATCCCCAGACGCATTCTTTGTTACATGATCTGATTCGTCCTAGAGATTACAAGGAAAACAGAAAAAGAAAGCCATAATATATACTTCTGTGGTGAGAACTGTCTACAAGCCAAAATTGTAGACAACAATTTACGCCAATGTTTACGTTCTGAATCGGGGTCATGAGAAAAAACAATAACAAAGCTTAATCTTGAGGAACTCACCAACCAATCACAGCAGACTTAACGTGTGCAAATACGATTCGCAGATATATGACTTAACTTTCTAAGAAACAGTCGCAAGCAGCACAGAATTACCTTCAGCAAGAAAACAACCAATCAAAAGAGGTTGCTTCTCCGCTAACAATAACGCTAATAATAATGTACATGAAAATCTATAAATATCTCTTGATTTTCTCAATAAACAAGCTGTTGCCTGGCTCTTGTCTTCTGTCGTTACACTTCGATTATGATTATGACAGGAGAAGAAAGAAAAAAAATCAAACAAGTGATCTACCATGGACAAGGTCACAACTCATTGGGGCTATAGAATGATAGGTCGTTAATCGATTGGTTGACAAATTGATGGTTTCGTTATAGCGTTTCATCTGGTTGAAAAATATAGTACGGTTGTTTTGCGTTGAAGGAGTTATGTGGTCTAGACAGTAGTAGTGCATCGATAGTAAAATGCTCGCCAACCGCGCAAGCGGTTCGATGCACTTTCACACCGCCTAGCTTACTATTCAATTTTACGCCCAGTGAAGAAGGATGGTTGGATGTGAGTCTAGCGAAAAACACCACGACTAGCAAAACCTTATATTCCACTTAGAAAGCAAAACAGAACGAATGTAGCTCAAGTGGCTGCTAGTGCAGGAGTAAATTTCTATCAAATGTGGTAGGCTATGCCACCAGGAGCCTATTTTTCATTTTGTATCAGTCGGTTGGATAGACAATTTGTACTTTTTCAAACATTAGTATCAATACAATGAAATTGGACAAACAACTTATGATTAATTCGCATATCTATGATGGCTATGGTTTCATTCTGCTGGGTCGGTACTCATACTACTTATATATCTTTCAGTAGTTAAAGTATTTTCGGAAAAGTTACATGTCTTAAGTTCACGAATCAGTTGAATTTTAATCCAGAGGAGGTTTGAAGCTACTGATTTGCAGTCAATATTTGTGTCTTTTAAAATTATACAGAAAGTCATACAGTTAAAATGAGGAATCAAGAATTATGCTGAGATAAAACTATACTGAAGGAATTTATTTATTTTCAAGGTGGACTCACCTATAAACAGACATTATTCAAGTGTCCTTAATTCAGGGCCCAACAATATTACATGAAATCACCAACTTCTGACATGTAGCGTTAATGAAATCTCATGATTACCAGTTAAAATTCAATAAACGCAACGTGAATTGATTGTAGAAAATAACAAATGTCATGGTAACGAGCCACACCTAACGTGTGACGGCTAATCATACTACATGATTGCCCAAACTTTGATAGGTGGAGCAGGGTTAGAACCTGTGATCAAGTGGTTGGAAGCCGAACGCTTAGACTAATGTGCCACAGCTCTACTGAAGTCACGGGTTAAAAGTGATGTTTGCGAGATATCTGCATTTGCTACCCAATGCTTTTCCCGGTAGCCAGAGTCTGTAGCAGTAAATATTGCTAAACAATATAAAATAGTATTTTTACGATTTCATACTGGTATACATGGTCGATTCTATCAGACATGCTTTATTCGTACTCGTATTTAAGTGACGCCAAATCGAAATTGGGTATGCGGTATAATCACTCCAAATTTGGGTGAAAAAAGAGACAGGGTTAAGCATTTAAAATGTGACTGCCGTTTCGGGATCAGGGAAAAGATCTTATCCACAAATTAGTTTAAACTAAACCCTGCCTCCAAACTAAATGGAATACACCCTGATTATAATCTGGTACTAAACTAAGCATAATCTACCCCTCACCTAAGCAACATTATTTATCTGTCTGAGACTAAATACATCTTCTGATCCTAAACTTCAGTCATTTGGTTAGACATCGACACTTCTATAAGAAACTGGGTATTATTCTCGTGACATTTCAAAGAAAGGTATTTCTTCTGTTTTGTATTCTTGTACTTCTTCGAAGATTTACAGGTAAAAAACAACAAGCTGACAGAAGAAGCAGCAAGGGCAGGACTTTAAGTGAACATAGTCAAGATGGAGGTGATGAAGACAACCAACCGACAACAACAAGCAACAATCAATATCAGCGGAAGAAATTTGAAAGAGGTTAATTCCTTCACTTATTTCGGCAGTATCATTTCAAGTAAAGACAGATGGCACGGATGAGGATGCCAAAACCAGAATGGGAAAGGCAAGGCAGAACTTGATCACCCTGAAATCAGTGTGAAAATCTTCTGCACTCAACATAAAGAACGAAATTCGGATTTTCAACGCCAATGGTAAGTCAGTCAGTTCTTCTATATGAGCCAGAAACTTGGCCAGCGTGTCACGAAAAGGATTTCCAACAAGCTACCGCAAACTTTTACTAACACCTGCCTTCGCTGGCGCCACATTGAAGACCGAATGGTCAGAAACAATTAACAAAAAAAACCAACCAAGAATTTATAGCTCAGCAAATATGTAGAAGAAATTGGAGATGAATATGGCCCACGCTGAGGAGACCGTCGAAAACATCGCATGTTAACGCTGTCGAAGTCGATGAAATTGAGGGAGAGATTCAACAGCCATTCTATGATCTGTTCGATGATGAAGCGTCGAGTTGTTACTTGGTCCGCACATGATTTGCCTTTTCTGAATCCAGCCTGTACAGTGCGGAGTTCTGCATCTAATGCATCTTTCATTATCCCCAGGATGACGCTACTTATAATTTTTTCTTTGCATGGACAAAGGCATGATCGCATGCCAGTTCTTGCAGAGACCTAAGTCACCCTTCTCTGGTAGTTTGACAAGTTTACATAGCACACATAGAAGAAAGGTATTCAGTATAGGGCATTCGAAGTTACACAATGTTTTGTACTTTCTAAGCGGTCACAAGAAAGTAACATGCATAGCTTTGAAGTTACTTATATTAACTCAGAAATGTGAACCTAATTGAAAAAACTTTGATTGGCAAATATGACGTGTAAAACACATTACCTACTCACCACCCAGTGAATAATCCGTGTGCAAACTGTACTGTAATGAAAGTTCAGTCTACTTTGATTATGCGCTTCTCCATGATAAGACGGATTCAAATTTATTGATTAAAGTGAATATTTACGACTCTTCATTATAAAGTGTTGATTTAGGTATGGTTTTTTTCAATTAGTCTAAATATATAGGACCCTACAGATCACGTTTATTAAGTTAGACGTGAAAACAGAAACTCGCAGTTCACATTGGATGGCGGTAGTGCCAGACATGGCGAATTGGAAGGATTTATAATTTATGGGCCACTAGATACTGACCCTAGTGACTAAATGATAAATTGATCGCGTCGTAAACTGGAGGCTGTAGGGTTATCGGTGCATACTGATGATGAGTTCTAAACTAGGGTAAAACACTTATGCAGTACTTCATATTTTTCACCAGTTCGCCGACTGATATCGATTTATGATGAAATCTACACTAGAAAACAATATTCAACGTGTTAATTAAGCTACTATACCTAGCCAAATGGAACTTCAGAGAAGAAACATAACGCTACGAAGACTCAATATCAGATCTTGTTGTCCGACAGAGATTCTTTTGAAATGATGAGAGGTTAGCAGGTTACCGAACTTTTTTTTCACTAACTGATGTAGAAAGCCACCTAGAACTTTGTCGATCCTAAATCTATTCTGTAACGTAGCCTCACCATCTGACTCACAGACTTCATCGATTTTGTAGGCAGTGGTCTTTTCAAAAATGTCATATATACGGTCCCCTTGGTGAATTTTGATAATGGCGAAGAAACCAAATTTGAAAAAAGCAAACATGTATATAAAGCAATGAATGCCAAGCTGAAAAAAAAAACATGAACCTACATGTTCTGGTGTATTATTAACAATAACGACAACTTCATCTTCTATAACACACGATGGATCGCTTGTTGATGTATTGATGATATTCTTTGACTTTTCAATATAATTTTCTATAATAGGTATACAGGCTTTACAGTGTAATGCTTGTTGTAATAGATCAAATGTTAAATTTAAAAACAATGGATCATATTTGTAGGGATCTTTAGAGTCTGCAGAATTACTATGACTATTATGCACTAGATAATCATTTAATTCTGTTGTGATTGTTTTATAACACTCAAAAATACTTCGATGTTTTTCTAATTCAGCTGAATTCTCTTCCAGTGCAGTACGAAACATTTTCTTTACCTAAACCACACAAGTGAAAGATAGAAAAGAAAGAGAAACGATAACAAGACACTACATGTGCATATACATAATTCATGGTTATTTCAAATAGGGATAATCATTGACTGCAGTGTATGCTACTGACGAGAATTTGTAAGTAGTATATCGTGTGTGATGTATTTTTCAAGAATATTGAATAGTGGAGTGACGATTTAATTTGCGAAAAGGAGAAATAAAGATCCTGGTGAAATAATGTAGAAAGCATGTAAGGAGAACAAAAGGAGAAGAAGTCATCACTGTACACCATTTTGCGAAATAAACAATTCTGCTACCAAATACCACTGTGTTGTGCTGTTACATAGCAACTAATCAACTGATGTTGACCAAAGTTAAAAAAAGGACTGGGCTTATCACCTAACCTACATATTCCCTTATGTGGCTTGTTTTTTTTGTAGATTATACAGGAAGTACACATCAGTACAATACATGAACGAAAGTAAAGTGAATAGCTAATCGTATGTTTATCAAACAAATAGAGAGGAAATGTACAAAGCATAAAAAGTTTCAGGGATCTGATTAAATTATCAAGGGATTAAACGAAGAAGGGACAGTGAAATTAGAATTACTCACTCACTACTCACTGGTAGCTTCTTTTTTTTCTCAACGATATCACATCAGAAAGGATATAATATACTAAAAAAATGCTGGAAATTGTGCATTTTATTTTAACGCAAACACGTATCAATTGTGAAGGGAGTGACACTAAAATGCCACCAAAAAGATATATTATACATAAAGATATATTTACCGAATCTGATTAACTGATTGCGTTTCAGTATGAAACTTTGCACAGTCCAACTTATCACACTAAAATACAGCATACAAAGATAGAAGAAAGAGATACTACACATGATCTCAGCTCAAAGAGCCGAGATTCAAAAGAACTATGATAAGCAGAAATGTGACTTCGAAAGAATAGGAAGATGGAAAAGCATGAGGACTTAATGCATCGGAGAGATTACAAAGAATGAATGCATCTGAGTCATTGAAAACGATTTCGAGCCATATCACCACTGGTGTCCACAGCTATTGGATTTATAGCATCTAGAGGATCCCAGCCAGGCAGTCTACACCTACCTACGCGACTCGAACCAACTATTAAAAACTTCATGAACTGATGTCAGGTTTTAGTTTGATCGCCCCTAACTACTTTCCAATCTAATCCTTTGTCAGCTAATACTGTTCGACCTAATCATTATAGTAGCGCGATAATATAAGGTTGAAGGTGTTTTATTTTAAAAGAAAAATGACATTATGTGAAGTAGACTTGAACACTACAGGATCTAAGTAGTATTTACTCTTAAAAAATAGATTTCACTCTTGGAAAAGATAAGCGAACCATTATAGTAACAACGTAAAACGAAAGTAAGAAAACCACGAATATGAACTGGTCAAATTATCAACAAACATAAATAACTGAAGAGAATAAGAGATCAGTGAAGAGACTCTTTTCGGTGGTTCCACTTACTACAGCTGTATAATGAGAGTGTTACATATATTATTACTTTTCAATAGCCTCAAGGACAAGACGCTGAAGTTGTGTGTTTACCAGTTTACTGGCTCTTATGAAGCTAGGCATATCGGGCGTTCGACGCGGGTTCTGTCTAAATTTATGCATGAGTACTATCCTGAGTGGTTATAAAGAAGTGAAAGTGGACCTATAAAACGCAAATTAATTGAACATCTGGTCGAGACTGACCATCTTATCTCGACAACATAATAATTTAAAGTTATCTATAAGGTGTCCACCAGAGCCACAGCTCTGTACAAAGAAGAAAATTTTTTTTTAAACCACTCTCCCTTTCATTGTCTTAATCCATTTATATTGCATCATTAATTGACAAAACAGCGATATTAACTCTACTACTTAAGTACTATCACATCCTTTATATTTCTATTCTCCTTTGGATAAGAATTATTTCCTTAACCATTTTTATCTTATCACGCTACTCTGTGTCTATAAGTTTTCAATTTTACTATACCTCCAATGTATTTTGACTAACACACACTAATCTGAACAACTTTACATTTGTTCTGATAGCAGTTACTAAGATCTTGCAGGAACAAATAAAATAACTGAGTCTTTTCGATGAACAATCAGTCTTCTTTGTCCATATGTCCTAATGGAGATTTTCAGTGAACATATTGTATAAACAGACCTTTACTACACATGTGGCGTAATATGCAAGCGGCAACACATCAGTATAAAGATATACAATCATACAGTAATTAGTATGTGAGTCCGTGGCACAGCGGGAGAATGCTAGTCGACCACAGGCCGACGCACCTCTTTACCTCGCTAAGCCAGTATTAAAACTGGTAAAGACGGAAGGTTGGGTATGAGGCTAGCAACACCATCTAGTAAAAGTAAACACCACTGCTACCGAAACTTCAAGCCTCTAGCTTGAAGTCCTATGTTCTACAGGGAACGTAAAGGAATAAAAACAACATTTTAAAAAACACAGTAATTAGTAAAAATTCAGCAAAAAAACACATCTCACCTGAAGAACTTCGTTTTCTAAATGGGTTTTCTCTTCTAAAGCATCTTGAAAATCTTGCCTTGAAGCAAATAATTCACGAGTCAATATTTCAGCCTTATCTTCTAACTAAAATTTTTAAAAAAACATAAAATAAAAAAAAATAAAAATATGTACTAAGATACATTTTTGTCAGCTAAATTGAACCACACTCAAGAAAGTAAGTGCTCCCTTTAACAAAAATACTCTTATGCAAACTGAAAGATAATCAAAACCATATTAATCATAGTCACAAACGGTTTCATAATTTGTCTTATATATATTTTTTATGTCTTTCTGTCTCTCTAATTGGAATGTAGCAGCGCCTATACCGGAGATATGAAAAGTGGCAACACACAACAAAGGGGAGTTGGAGAAATGGAATAGACAGAAAAATATATATAAGACAAATTATGAAACTGTAAAATCGATATGATTATGAGGAATAATTTATGCTCAAAACGTCATCCAGTTGTTAATACTGCATCGCTGTGTGATATTCAAAATAAACTTATCTAAGATGGAATTACATTCTACCACAGTAACCAAGTTCTACACTTACACTAATAATATCAAAACCACTTATGATTGTTGAGACTCTAGATGAGGTATGAGATTTAGACAGGTGATAACGATTCGACTTATTTAGTGATCTTAATAAAAGAAGGAAACATATCTCAGGTTTTCAATCGATCAGCAGCATAATATAAGGAATTAGTGCGAAAATAGTACACTGTCTCCCTCCTCAAGGTTTAATAATTGATCATAAACTTTTCACTATCAGACTGACTGACTGGTTTCAACACAGAACTTTGCACCGATGTGCAGCAGTTCGAGTTGCCACACTCCATGTAGCACAAAAAGCAAGAGAAGAAAGTAAAAAGGAATGCTAACTAGAGACAGTAAACAGGGATATGATACAAAAGGAATAGTAATAACGAAGAACAATATAGTTTCATTGGAAATTATAAGTCACAAGGAGTGGATGCATCTGCACTATTGAGAACGATTTTGAGCCATATCACCAATTGTCTCCAGCCATTGGTGTTTACCGTCCTGAGGACCCCAAATCAAAATTACTAACATCTTCGGTCTTATCATAGCTACCGAATATTATGTATTGGACGCAGTTAGTTCAAGCGTAGACTGCTTACCAATCACAAAGGTGGTCCGGGTTTGACCCCCGACCGACGAACTCGTAAATCACCGAAAATACCCAGAGTCATGAAAAAAAATAAAAGACATTTCAGCGAAGAAAATCATAAATGAACTCAGAATACCATTTTTTTAGATGGTTTGCTCAAAAGGAGATATGACGGTTCTCTTCAAAGATCAATCTACAGGAAATCAACATGGAATGGTTAGTACACGAATTTTCATAGTCGCGTCCCTTTGAGAAGAAAAATCTGATCCACTCCATATCCTCAAAGAATAAGAAGGATATGCACCAGTGATACAATCGATGGAGGACTGGAGCGACTCAGAGAAGTCTTCCTTGAAAACGGATATCCTTCAAGATTCATCGAGAAAAAACCTGAAAGTTAGGCGAAAGACCGAAAGAACCCAGAAGGTATCAAAGAAACTGCTATTTATGGACGCTGAATTTAAAGGGGATACCGCAGCTGATATTCTGAAGAACCGCTTATACAGATCACTGAAAAAAGCCGTCTTTTCGGCTGAGCTACGGATCAGATTTTACGGCCGACAAAGGATCAATGGATGTGTGAAGGATAAACTGCAGCTTTGGATCACTTCAATGTGTGTTTATAAATTCACCTGCTCGTGTGGAGCTAGTTATATCGGCCACACAAAGCGTACACTTTCCAAACGCATCTCTGAACATTATCCGGCATTGTTAGCAAAAGGACAATGCAAGACAATTGCTAGCTCAATTCTCAAGTACTTAGTGAAATCAAGCCACGCAGCCCACCAGAGTCGTCTTTCAAGATTATCTACTAGGTGACACCAACTGGTACCAAGGGAGTGTATGGCAGAGGCGCTGGTAATTCGTCAATACAACCCCGAACTCAATACGGAAAAGGTTTGTCCAGTCTCTTATTCTACCATGGTCTTAACCTCTTAGTTAGTCATTGCCTGTAATTTTTTATCTTTATTTTTAATGGTTAATTTGCTTTTACTTTATTAACTAATTCACTGTTATCACTCTTATGTGTTCCTTTTGTGCATTTTCTCACCCTCTTCACAGTTGTTAAATGGACACGCAACCACCTTTCTTCACACTCAGTAAGAATTTTAACCTTATAAAATTTCTAACTCTTTCTTCCTTTGTGCCATTGAGTATTACGTAATTCATTTTTTGTTCTTGAAGCCACTTCTGAATAATTATATCAATTATATCACATACCCCCACTATTACTCAATGATGGACTACTATACATTTCTGGTAAATATGAATAACTATACAGTCTCTGAAAACGATTTCGTCGATAAAGAAAATTTTCTTAGCTGAACTGATAAATCTCTTTTAGACGGTAGTAAGTCGAGAGAAGACGGAAGTTATGGCATGAGATTAGAAACCCCACCCTGTGAAAAACACACATGCTACTGGAACTTCAAAGCTTAAGGCATGGAGCCTTGCGTTCCGAGCGGAATGCAAGAAAGGTACAGTTTTACTTTGGTCTGATATATACATATGTATATTGCATTTACAATTGCGATCTTTGAGAGGACAAGATTAAAATGTCTGATACTAGATTCATTGAAAATCCACCAGCCATAACAATGAATTAATGAAAATAATATTGTGGTGACGTACTTAAGACAATCCAGAGACAACAGCGGACTTGATGACGCCACTACTGGAGAAGGTGTGGAAAGAAGGCAAAGTACCCGAGGATTGGAAGAAAGGATACTTATTCAAACTACCAAAGAAAGGAGACTTAAGTCAATGCAGGAACTGGCGCGGAATTATGCTCCTGTCCATCCCAAGCAAAATACTAAGCCGCATCATCCTGGAGAGAATCAAACATGCCCTAGATGAAAAACTTCGACTTCAGGTGAACATAAAGAAAACAGAGGTGATGAAGATTCCTGGCCAACACCACCAACAACAACAGACAACAATCAGCATAAATAGGAGGAACCTGAAAGAAACAGCCTCTTTTACCTACATGGGAAGCATCGTTTCAACTACAGGCGGAACGGACGAGGATATCAAAGCAAGAATCGGAAAAGCAAGACAAGCTTTCACTACTCTCAAGTCTGTGTGGAGGTCAACAGCACTCAGCATCAAAAATAAGATCAGGATCTTCAACTCCAATGTGAAGTCAGTGCTACTATACGGATCAGAGACTTGGCGCGTCATAAAGAGCATTTCAAACAAACTACAGACCTTCATTAACATTTGTCTTCGCTCAATACTCAAGACCAGATGGCCAGAAAAGATCAGCAACAGAGATCTCTGGGAGCGAACCAACTCAGCAGGAACCAATTGTGAAACAAATAGGCAGGAAAAAATGGAGATGGATTGGCCATACACCATCAAGTGACATCACTAGACAAGCCCTCGAGTGGAAACGGAAAGGGAAGTGGCGAGTTGGTCGTTCAAGGGTGACTTGGAGGAGGTCATGTGAAGAGGAGATGAAAACGTGTGGGCAGACATGGAGCCAGGTGAAGACTCTAGCAGAGAACCGAACGCAATGGAGACGCACGGCTGAAGCCCTATGTTCCTCTAGGAATTAAAGAAAACAATAATAATAATAACACTTAAGACAGTAATAGATACTATACAAAATGTGAAAAGGATTACCGTGGTTAAAAATCCTCACAACCAATTTTTTAAGTAAACTGAATACTATTACTAAAAAAGGTATGCCATAATGGTGGTTGAAACACGGCACAAATGCGTGAAGTCGCTGACTGTTAGTTCAAACCACTTAGGGAAGTTGCTGTCCCCTACACACTACGTACCAATCTTTGAAGACTGTTATTTATGATAGGGCTGAAAATTCTTTAGAATAGGATAGGTGCATTCACTTTTTTGTTATCTTCCAGATTCTGAAAATCTCCATTGAATTATTCTCTTCATCATACATTGTCATTCATTGTAACCTAAGTGTATTTCTTTTAAGAGGTTTTTTTTCATTCCCTGCATTCCGAGTAATAGGACATACGGCTTGAAGTTTTGAGTCTGCAGTAGAGGTGGTGTTTCTTTTTAGAGGAGTGGGGTTGCCAGCATCCCGCCCATACTCCCCTCTCTTCTTAGATATACTATCAGCTAAAAAACTAGGCGAGATTTAGGAGTGCATCTGCCGGGGATCAAAACCGAACCTCTCGTGAAGCTGGTGAGAAATCTGCCACTGAACCAACGATTACTCATTCAAAAAGTGATAATTTGAACTGATAAACTCTTCTGCAAAGTTCTGCATTGATAAATTTAACAGTCAATGCATGATAATATAATACCACAACCTCCCTAAGTGATACATTAAAAGCCAACACTAAAGTTCACCCGATTAGTCTTTATTTCGAGTTAAACACGTTAGACTGACAAAATATTCCCCTGAAATGATACACCAAAGAAAAGTGTCCCCTCAGCAGCATAACAAGTTAGTAGACGTGATCACTCTAACTGGGTTAAACGAAGCTCTTCTCCCTTCCACTTTTATTTTAATACTCACTATCTTATCTTATTATGATTAGTACTTAATTAAAAAAAGAATTAACGAATAAAATAGTTAGGTATTAAAAAAAAATTTAATAAAAAGTCAGTGTTAACATTACTCGATCAACTTGTTCATGCATTGATGTTTTACTTGTAAGTAAACCAGAAGCCAATGTCTCATTCTCATGCTCTAATCGACTAATTTCTCGTCGCAATGATGCTAATTGGCATTCCATAATATGAATTGGTGAATCAGTCAATTTTTCTTCAGCTCTTTTCGATAACCATTCTTTAGCATATTTTTGTAATTTTGATGAGGTAACCTTGAACAGAATAAAAAAATATAGCAGGTAAGTGTATATACATATTGAGGGGAGAGATAATAACAATAATAAAAATAAAGAAGACAGTAGATGTATCATGCTATAAAGACTAGTTAGTGTTACACAGAAGAAAATGGTTTGGACGTTGAAAGTGACAACACACTGCAGACCCTTGAGTGAAACTCGAATACGAAGCGACGAGTTGGACATTCGAAGATAGAATGGAGAAGATAATCTGAGAAGGAAATGAAAGCTTGTGGGCAATAAAGAGTCCAGATGAAGTGATGGCAGAGAACCGATAGCAATGCAGATCTGATAATGAGGCCCTAAACTCTACTCGGAACACAAGGAAGGAATGAATGCTAATAATATTATAGTATCATGCCCAGATTTAGCCAAGCCTCAATAACTTTGGTTTCACTGGAATAACACACAAACGTAGTTGTTTTTGTTCACATGACAATTTACTAGGTGGCTTATAGACCAACACTGAGAGGTCAATTAACTATTTCGGACTGTGCTCATTAGCAACAGATCTGGAATGATGCCACTCAGATGAGATTTCATATCAGACTGTACATTTGGAAGCGCTCCATGATTTCAAGAAGGATTGTTGCCAATGTAAACAGGAAATACTAGATGCTGTTATCCTTAAATTATATTTTGTTCTGCATTATAATCCTTGTATATACACAAATGATAGAAAGGCTAATCAACTGAGAATCATCGGCACAGTGTTACTGCGACATCTTTTTGTCTGTTTTCGACATAGAACTTTGCACATATGTGCGGCAGTTCAAATCACTACACTCCATGTAGCACACAAAGCAAGAGAAGAAAGTAGGAGAAATGCATAATAGAGACAGTAAACAGAGGTGTGAGACAAAGGAATAGTAATAACGGAGAACAAATCAGTTTTATTGGAAATCATAAGTCACAAGGAGTGGATGCATCTGCGCCAGCCATTGAGAACGATTTTGAGCCATGTCACCAATTGTTTCCAACCATTGGTTTTTACCGGGAAGCCAGTCTACACCTTCCTACGTGACCTAGGCTAACTGTTGCAGATTTCATTGACTGGTGCCATGTTTTTGTTTGACCGCCTCTAGCTCTTTTCCAACCTGACCATATATCAGCTAACATTGCCTATTGTCAAGGAAGGCGATGACTAGGCATCTGTAAAACATGTCCTAACCATCTCAGTCGGTGTAACTCCACAGCCTCGTCTATTGATTGATTTCCCCTCCTTACCTAGCACTCGACGCCTAACCTCAATATTGCTCACCTTATTATACAACTTCACACGGGAGATAGAACACAGGCACCTATGATCAAAGACAGCTAATCTTTTCATGTCTTCTGGTCTCAATGGCCAGGTCTCACAGCCATAAAGGAGGATGGAGTGGACTGTTGAGCAGTACACACGCCCTTTGGTCGATAGTGCGTTACTGCGATATGCAATAAATACATCTGTTTGCTGAAATATAAGAAACTTAGAATACTCAGCAATACAGCCACACACACATTTAACAACTGTGTATTGCGAGTCACGCTATAATGTCAAGTGATACGGATTAGTAGTAACTGATTAATAATGAAAATCTTTTCCTACATGAAACGTTCCCTAAATAATAACACAAGGATTTCAACAAAATTATAATCCTCAGAAGTGAGGTAGTGTAACAATTTTTCCCATACATAAAGATCTACAATGTCAAGAAACTGATGAAAGTTTCGATCAACCAAAGTAGATTAAAAAAAAAACTGAAAACAAATGATTACATGGAATCAAGAATTCTGATGAATTCATATGGCTGTGAACTAAAATTGAGTAACTCCGTTAGTTTAAAAATGAATCAGTGAAGTTTAGAGTTGATGCAAAATAATGCTGTCAATACAACGACACTTCCACCCCACCCCGCCCCACCCGCAGAATATTTAGCTAAATATAATTCCGACTAAAATATAGCAACAATAATTGACCTTATGAATAAATGAATAGATCAATAACAATAATGACAGTATTCGTGAAATAAGCAATTAACTCAAATCGATTTCCACTGATAGTGGAAAACAAATACAGTTTGTCGGAATGTATACAGAGTTACAGAACACAAATCAATAAATTGAATTTCAGTATAGATTTTGTCACAAACCGGAATTAGATAACAGACTGTTGAAAACTAGGGAGTACTAGACAGTTGTTTCATCCTAATATGGAACTCTTAATATGCTACTCACCCATGATTCCACCAGGGGTCGGACGAGGGACTTCCAGGTCACGAGACCAGCTCTTTGACTATTCAGCTCCTTAGGTTGGAATTTAATGACCCATGAATTCTGACTATCATGAACGCACGATTTAGCACCACTACCAACCGATGTCATCCATGAGCATCCACTTCGTCCTCATATAGTGGATGAGGTGGGGTCAAAAACCATGGTCGCTTGACCTAAAGGTCCGAGGTTCGACCCATGATGAAGTCATGGGCACGCAATGCTATGGAGTCCCAATCCGGGACGAAACAACTGTCAAGTCCTCCATGCTGTCCAACATTTCTCTAACTGATGTTGGATCGTAATGAAATCTACGTGAAATTAGTCGAAATCCCTACGAAACTCATAATTTGAAATTAACCAGGGATTCTATTGGGAAAGGTAATTATCACTTTCTATTACTATGAAGCAGGGTAATAAATTGATTTGTCTGTTGTAGCAGTATTGTTGGCATGTGCTACTGATAAGATTTATCAGTAGTATATAAAGAGACGTCCATTGGCATAAAAAAATATCAAATAGCAGGGAGACAGATCTGACTCCAAAGAAAGCGAATGATTCAGCGTTGCGGAGATACATGGGAGACGTGAAAAGGAAGACAAAGAAACACAATACGAAGGGCAGAAGTAGCACAACACGAAAGATGTGTGCAAACGGGGGTTTGAAGATAAGGTGTACATAATTTAGCTATACAACGATACCTTTACCAAGTCTCTTTTCTTCTACCGTCATAGTAGTAGTAGTATATAGGCTAGTTGGTGTCAACGGCTGAGTACAGCAATATTTTGCTGACAGCTGTACACTTCTATCAATTAATAAAAGTGCTCTCATTTTACACAAATCTTTCCTTCTTTCGACTCATTAGACATGCCATCAACATAGAACTATCTACTTAAGGGAATTATCGATATGCTGATGCAGAAGATTTATTCATCTTAGCATTAAAGGGAATCACGATTACCCCGTTGTGTGTTGTTTTTTATCATAGATTTAAGAAAGATGACATTCTTCAGATGACTTGGTTATATAAATTTTCTGTGAGGGGAATGATGTTATAGTGTTGTGTGCACTTAACCATTTCAAGATTAGCGTTCACAAGTATGCCATTGTGGAGATGTGATACAGACAATGTGTTCCAACAGAATATTATTCTCACATATTCCCACAGTTCAATACGGCATTAACAACAGAATACTATGTATGTTTGACCATGCTATTTCATGTCGTTTAATGCAAACCAAAATCACACTCTCAGTGATTGGTTAACGAATATAAACTCTCTCTATATAAAAAGAGTTTTGAATGATGAAAAATATACCTTGGCTTCAATGTCTTGCCTTCTATTGTCACACCATGTGCTTTTTATCATCATCTTCTCTTTTTCATATGACTCAAAGTAAAAACTACTTTTCAAGTTTGACAAGAATCCCTATTACACTGAATGACTCTATTGTACATCCCAGCTAATTTTAGCGCCGTAGTCCTTTGCTATGGTGGTTTAATGACAAGTTATATTTTTCGTATACTTTTTAAATGAAATTTCGCATTTAAAGTTGTTTTTTTATCGGAGTACATATTGTCAGTGGCATTATACTCTTGAACTGTGTTACATTTTCTGCACTTTTATCAGAAAATCTGGCTTGATACTGATATCTGCCTAATGTAGAATGGATTAAAGGAGGTAGTAAGTCCAAAAGATAAATGTATATTACTGAGTTTTGATGAAATCATGCCGGTATACTTTGACCTATTTCGAAACGCCCTAATACTCACTAGATAAAGGTGGCGCTAATTCAAGAAAGGGACATGCCATATAATCGCCCTACTGCACTAGCTCTTAGTTAAAGTTTGATTGGTTTACACAGGTAATTGCATTAGCAACAGTGGAAGAAAGACTGATTAAAGCAATGTGTGAATAGTCCGTTTCAGAAGCATACAGTAATCGAAGCTAGCACTGAAAGTAGAGCAATACTCACGTGAATGCAAACATTTAAGTATTCACTGCTGTACTGGAAACAGTTCAAATTTATGTTTATGTGATATCTAGCCTTTTATAAACTGAATATATTCAAGGGAGTTTTGTGTCTGTGATTATCATTGTCTCAGTTGTGTTACTTGAATACAGGCACAATACAATGTAAAGCATTTTCCAAAACATCGCAGTGAATGCTTAAACACAATGTGTAGTAATTTTTTTTTGCAGAATGTTCATTCAAAATACCCTTTGTGATCTTGAACACACAATAAATATCGTGCCTAGTATTAGGCTAATTGTCAAATACCTATTAGGTTGTAGTTACTTTATGTATAATGTGTTGCAACATTCACTTCAGAACAGCAGTTGAATCGAATTCAAAAAGTGGAGAGGTGGTCAGCCCAGGATATAGCATAGTACGATGAACAGTATATGTGTTGGCCTAGCAACTCTTTCTGCATTACAACTCCCTCAGTGGAATCTGAAACATCGTTCAAATCAGCGATTTGAGGCTTTACCACATACAGCTCAGAAGACAATCGATATAACAACCTTTTTTATTCTTCTTTCTGAAAGTAATGCGCAGTAATGAACACTTCATTAAGAAATCTGGATAGGTAAGCCCACCTATTTTCATTTTCGCACCTCAACTACTTTATTCCACCCTTGATTATTTTGTTAATTGTATGATGCACATCTTATTGCCTGATATGTGGATTAAGAGATTGCCTGGAAAATGGGGCAATCAGTTGTCTCATTAGTAGCTAGACAGACAACCAATGGATTATCCGTTCTCACACCCATATCATTAGTCATCTAAACATTCTTTGTGGATTATGGTGCCTCACTCCTGCCATTGGCCAAGTACATATATATATATATACATATATATATATATATGTATATATATTGTTGCAGTAAGTAATAGCTACCACAGTCAAATTAACTTGAACCGACCAATCAGATCGCTCAGCATGAAAAATTATTGCTTTTCGTAATCTTAGTTACAAGTCTCACCGTATTGAGGGTTATCGGGTGGAGTTAAACTATCACGTCCCAGGAGTGCGAACGCTGCAATGACCTTGAATGCATGCTAGTCGTTGGACAACGGGACCCGTCATTTTATAGGGCTAATATGAACACTATTCACTAAATAAGGAGCAAATTTCACCCCGATCACGTTTTTAAGTACTATTTGGACAATGTATTACTAGCTCGTTAGGGTTAGGATTAGTGTTCAGGTAGGTAGCAGGGTTAGGGTCAGGATTAAGGTTAAGATAACGATTATGGTTAGGTTTGGGGTTGGTATTATTTATTTTAATTTGTGTTATTATCCACAGTTTCCTAAGAATTAGTCGGCAATCCTCTTACTGTAAACTATAATAATTCAGTTGAGGGCTTTTAGGGAAGACTGCAAACCAGAATAAGAGCGATAAACGGGTCAAAAGAAAAGCTCATCTTCAGTCACCTCGGTGAATACATATACGGACACTGGTCTAACTTAAAAACTGATGCTCCGCATTATAACTGAGACGTGTTTTTAAGTCATGTCAGAGAAAGATACACTGTTTAATGTGTTTTCATGCACTTGCATGTAAATAAGCGTCATTTTTGTGTGTAAAAATCACTTATTTTTATGATCGATCCGCTCAAGGTCACTCGTGCGTTTGCATCCCATGGGACGTGATACTTCAACTTTGACGGTGATGCTAAGATTAAGGTAGGGTTTTGATTACGGTTAGGGTGCAACTTGCGGCGATGACTATGGGCAGCATCCATTTGAAATGCTGAGCAATGTGACTATCATCATCATTAGGTTATATTCATCGTAAAGTCAATCATTCATCAGAAATGGTCAATCCTATAACTGCTACTCATGCAGATTCTGGTGTATTTACTATAGCCAATCCTATAGAGAATTGAGACCTCTTTTCGCATCATATTAGAGACATATACCCTACATAATTCATTTTTGTCATACATATATCAGGCTATGCTATGATGGCCACTTTTTTTTACCTTTAAGAACATGATTGGCTGGTTTAAGGTAGTTCGACTGTGGTATCTATTCTTTGCCGTTGGTCTATAATCATTGCTCCTTTTATAGAGATACTTTTTGTGCTGATTTGTAAATATTTATACAGTCAAATATCTAATTCATTTATCAAGAACAATGAGTCCTACTCTTTTGCATATATTGACCTAATTCTGTATTCACAGTTACATGTGATGCATTAACATGCAGTATGCTGACTCTCTATTGATGATTCCCAAGCATGTGACTGTGACTAAATTTATATTTATTAATGTGTGAGTATCTGAGTTTGTTTGAGGACTTAAAAAACTAAATGAATTCTGTGTTCGACACTAATGCTGCAATACACATACGTATTATACTGGCTATCTGAAATTCAGTTATCCTAATTAATACAACATTACTACTGTAGTTCGTGTAGTTCTTGTTTGCTTATGGATATTAAGTTCGAGTTAGCGCTAATTCTGGAAAACTACTTCATGATTCCATTACAAAAACAACACACGTTTACTTCCCGTCCAACTTCGTGGCATGCTCTGGATTGAGTAGCCACGTTTGGAAATCAGGTAGCTGTTGTACACGTTGTTGACAAAGATGAGAGGTATTCATGATCACCACATCTGTATAATTTCCGGCGTCCTCTACCAAATTCAATTCCAACAATTCACAAAATATAAAAATGCCCATATCATACCAACCTAGCGTCGAATATATATATTAAACAACATAATTTTTTTACTCAGCAATATCAACATAGAGAAATTTCACGTCATAAAATCCAAGTATATAAACAATGTGACTTACTTTAGCCATTATTGCTGATCTAAGTAATTCTTCATTGGCGTCACCGGCTAAATACTTTTTCGGCATTGCAACCCGTAAATATTTAAGTACACCTTCAAAGTCTAGACCAAGTAAATCGCGTCTAGCCAACTGTAAAAGTGCTAAGGATACCTTGAATATGAAGATCAAGCCCTAAGAGAGAGAGAGTAAAATATGACAGCATAATTCATATATACCAATGATATTATTGCAAAAAGCAGTGAAGGTCTAATACAAAAACTGAAAATATCATCATGAAAACATTTTGACAAGGCGTCAATGGTAATGACAAAAATGGATTTTTATCTAAAGAGGGTGTGACCAAACAGGAGAATAAGGTATTTCTGCATAGATTTTAATCAATGATTTGACTAAGAGTAGACGGGATAGTAAAGAACATCCCATTTTCATTTAATTAGTTCCATCAATCCCTTCATGGAGATCTGGCTCATTGGCTTAAGCATTTCGCTTCCAGCCCATAGGTTCTGGGTTTCAAATATCATTCCACCTGGACAACTGGGGGGTGTTATCAGTCCTTGCACAATAAGTGTGACTTATAGCTTAGCACGGGGTAAATAAATTCTCATTTGTTATTAAGTAGATATGATACTAATTTTTCGGCGTGGTTTTGTTGTCTGACCTGGGTGATTTAATTATGAAGTTTACACTGTCCTGCTAGACAATATCTTCAATGCTTTCTTTAGTGTGAAGCGAGTCTCTAGAATTCTCTATGAATGATATAACCGATGATTATAATTTTGATTAGTTGTGCCTTCAACATTTTACTTATCCATTTGTTCATATGTACTGGTATCAATTTTTTTCGTCAATCTGATATTTGACCTTATCACCCATGTGACTTGTTCTTCATTGATTGATAAATGTGATCTGTGTTAAAATGTGTGTCAAGTGAAAATTGATCTAAGTACCAGGCTTCTGTAAATTCACAGGCATTTCTAGTATTTCCCTTTTGGAATTCAACCACTGAGCTCAGAAAAAACAACCAGCCAAAATACATTCACCTTGGCTAAAATATCCATTATTTCAAGACTATGGAATACTTTTATCCCATGATTTTTGGCCAACTTAGGAGAAGTCATTTCGAAAAACTGTGTTGGAGAAAGTGAATATTTACAGTTTATTTTTGACTAATTAAATCGATCCGAAGGTAAAATAAAGATGGACAAAAGTGTATAATGAAGAGAAAAATAAGTGAAGATTTTCAGAAATTGGATGGTGATGATGATAACGATGATGAATTATTAGATTTTCAGAATGATAAACCAATTTGAGCCATGCGTGATAAACAGGTTCACGCGTAAGGTACTGCATCAGAATGCATAATATATGTCATAAGCATATGGGTCACTGAAGTTTCGGGCTTACAGATGGACTTCCCCTACCAATCTAACACTTACTGAACAACAACTAATTTATAGGAAGCAGCTTATTGGCTCGAACACTGGACTTACAAACCAACCCATCCGGGGGTTCAAGTTCTGCTCCACCAAATTCAACCTAGGCCTTATCATCAGTCCTCACATAAGTAAGGTGTGATTCATACTCTGATACATGAAAAATCTGTTCCACATAAATGCTCTCAAACATCAATCTGGTAATATAACTTCACTTTAACTATTAACCGAACAACAGAAGGGAACACATACAACCACTTCCTAACCATATTCACGGCTTTAATTAACAATGTGCCCAAAATATGACCTACTTAACAAGCGATAATGATAACAAATATCATTATTATTACTTTTTTTAATTATTATTCCCTTGCGTTCCAAGTGGAACATAGGGCTTTAACAGCACATCTCCACTTTGTTCTGTTTTCTGCCGTCCTCTTAAGCTGGGTCTACAATTGACCAAACTCTCTCATCTCCTCGCCACACGATCTCCTCCATATCACCCTAGTACTGACGACCAACTAGTCACTTCCAATTGGGATTCCATTCGAGCAATGGCCTTGCGTGTGAATGCATTCGGCGGCCTCCTCAATGTATGCCCAATTTATCTCCACTTTCTCCTACATATTTTTTGAGCGATTGGCTCTCGGTTGGTTTGTTCCCAGCCAGAGTTTCTTGCTGCTTATTCTTTTTGGCCATTTGATCTTCAGTATGGAGCGAGAGAAGGCAGCTGTTGATGAAAGTCTACAACCTGTTGGAAATCGTTTTCGCGACTCGCAGCGCAAGTTTCTGATCCGTATACAAGAACCGACTTCACATTGGTGTTGAAAATGCGAATCTTGTTCCTTATGCTGAGTGCGGAAGATTTCCAAACTGGTTTCGGGTTGATGAAGGCGTATCTTGCCTTTTCGATTCTGACTTTGACATCTTCATCCGTTCTCCGTGTAGTTGAAACGATGCTTCCCAGAAAAGTGAAGGAGGTAACCTCAGTTAAATCTCTCCCGTTGATGCTGATTGGTGCTCGTTGTTGTTGCTATTGATTGGTTATCTTTATCACCTCTGTCTTCTCTGTGTTCATCTGCAGTCCTATTTTCGCTGCCTCCTTCAGCCAGTTTGTTGGTTTTCGCTTGCAAGTTTTCGAGTTTGTGTGACATTAGACATACATACATTATACATGAAGATATTTCAGTTGTCCAGTAGTTTGTATAAGATGATTGATAATAACACTTTGATTAATTTAAACATTACATAATCAAGAAATAATTGAATATTAAACAAGCAACATGAAAAAAAAAAATATAAACCTACCTCAGTAAGAAACATATCTACAATATGAAAGACAACATTCAAAGGGAATTTAGCTGTGAATAGAGTTAAAAACCATTGACTAGCAAACATATGCGTTTCTAAGCCAAGATCAGCGAAATGCTTTGAAACATCCGGTAATTGATCCTGAAAGGGAAAAATACATAAACGAAAACCAGTTTTTAATTGACTAAACAACCTAAACACTAAAAGGATTGTTGTAAACAGGTAAACATTGAAGAATCAATGCATTTTAGTCCGTTACCAAAAGCATCAGTAGTACGTCAAGTGAAATATGATACAACCAATGAACAATTCAGCTGAAATCTAAAAGCTTGAAATTATCAACATGTGTCAATTCACCACACACAACAACCATCAACAACTAGCTCTGACAAGCCTTATCACTAAGATTAAATGCGAATATGTCATCATTAGAATCACTGTATTCATGTATGAAGATAAACATTAACTTATGGTACTGAATTTTAATTATGACGACGTATTGTAAATTTTCAATAGTTGATTTGTGAGGATTTGATTCGGTTTTCGAGTTAGACGACGGATTGATATCAATTAGAGAAACATTGAAAACCAGGGAGTACTGGACAGCTGTTTTATTCTAGTTTGGAACTCATTGGCAGTACGCATTCACTGGGTTTCGAACCCGGGACCATCCAGTTACAAGGCAAGCTCGCATACCATTCATCCACTGGGATTCTTTTCAATGTAAATTGGCAAAATTATGAGATTACAGATAACTGAAATTCAGTTTATTGGCAGAATCGTGACATTGTAAGCCTTGTGAGTTTGATCCGTTGCGAAGTTGCAGGCTCATGTACTTAGTTGAAATCAAAATCACGAGCAACAAGTAGTTGTTAATTCTTTCTTAGTTGTCAACCACAATTTAGTTGACTTAAACGTCTTTGAAATAAAACCCAGTATATATATATATATATACATATGTGTATAGTTTTTACGGCGTGAAGTTGCTAGCCTCACACGTCCAACCTTCTCTCTTTATCTGGTTTACTAGCGATACTAAGCGAGATTTAGGAGTGCGTTAGCCGGGAATCGAACCCAGACCACAAGGGTGATTAGCAAGCATTCGATCATTGAATTTCCGATGCACGTACATGATTAGAATATATAGTATTGATGACCTTAGCTGCCAAGGAAGATAAAAAGTCAAGTCAAAGTAATTACTAATTATTTACCGGCCATGAATCACAGTGGTTATCGCAGATTTTGAATAAAGAAAGCAAACCAACTACAATAAACAATGCACTAACACGATACTAAGTTTTGCATAGATTAACTTATAGTTTTCTAACAACTGACTACTGTAAAAACAACACACAAATTATTAGATCTATTTGAGATGAAGATCAACTTGACAGTGTCAGTAATCTGGCACACTTGTGACACTTCTTCAATGAATGACAAAAGTCAATAAAGCAGTTTAACTATACCAGATAGTTCTTCTTGTTGTAGTGAAAACTGAAAACTTCTTCTATAAACAAGATCACTTGGGGAAAGGGGCTTTCTTATACAGCTTGTACAGAGAAAGAATAGCTTTACATAAAAATTACAGAAGAAATTCTAGTAAAAAATGAAATGAAATAGATGCATCATTGATAAAGTTATAGCTGAAGATTAAAATAGCTTAACATATGACATTTCACAAAATCCTAGTGTTTGAAAATATTATCTTTCACGTGGATGGATATTGTTGAAGTATTCCTCGATTACTCAGATACATTAGATATGCTTATATCTCATGTAACACGCTGTTAGATGTGCTTAGAAATGGGCATTAAATGCACTCATAAGGATTACATGGATAGATATAAAAAGTGTGACAAATTGTCGAGTGAAAAAAGCTCATACTGTGTGCAACACAACAAGAATAAATATGATTAATAAAAAATTACGATAATATGTGCCTGAATTAGATTTTGATTCTTTAATCAACTAAGTGTACAGTTTATAACCGATCTAATGGTTACTAACCATTGACGTCAAACAGATATAATGAAACACCATACATATAAAAATCAAACAGAATACTACTCTACACTACAAAGTCACTTTCCCCTGAATATATAACTAGAGAATATTCCTAAAAGTAAACTATTATCAGTATTATTATTGTTCCCTTGGGTTCCGAGTGGAACATAGGACCTCAACAGCACATCTCCACTTTATCTTATTCTTTGTTGTACTCTTTATCTGGCTCCGCGATTGCCAATAGTTCTCACTTCCTCCTCACGCAGTCTTTTCCATGTCACACTCAGACCAACGCCCAACTCGTTGTTTCCCATTCGGGTTCCACTCAAGTACTGGCTAGGAGCACGATGCTATTCGACTGCCTCCTCAGCGTGTGTCCAATCTGTCTCCGTTTTCTTAGGAATATTTCTTGAGTAATAGGTTCTTGGTTGGTTCGTTCCCAGAGTTTCTTGTTACTAATTCTTTCTGACCATTTGATTTTCAATTATGGAGCCAATGAAGGCAGTTGTTGATAAAAGTCTGTAGTAACCTGTTGGAAATGCTTTTCGTGATACACAGGCCATATAGAAGCAGCGACTGACTTCACGATGGTGTTTAAAATGAGAATCTTGTTCTTTATGCTGCGGAGTGCAGAAGATTTCCAAACTGATTTTAGTGTGACGAACGGTTGTCTTCCCTAATTCAAGAAGCAAGCTCTTGTAAACTATTATTTATCTGATACATCATAAAAACTGAAGTCGGATATAACAAAGAATCAAATTAGGTATTTGCACAGTTCCAGGTGAAAATTAACCACAGTTTCCGCTGCGAACTGAAATTATTCAGATCACAGTATGTGATCCGATTGATACTACGCCGAAAAGCAACCAAGAAATCAAGTATAAATACATATTGTTACATACTACTGACTGATTGATATTAGTAGTAGGATACCACTGACATTTACCACTAGTGTCCATTAGCCAAATAGTAGTTATCTAAACACTGGGTGGCTGTGTCTTGGGTGATTTGATCTCATTTGGTTCACTGAACTGACTCAAACCGCCAATCACCTCGATCCCAAACAAGTGAAGCGGGAACTCAGTGTTTCGATCACTTCGATATGGCTAGCAAGCACTTCTGGTTGATGTGAGCGGCAACCAACCCACTCATATTACTCAATCCAGTAGTACATGGTATCATAAAAACAAACCATATAAAATTTTGAGCGAAATATTTTTTGTTAAAAAATCACTTGTGTTTTTTCCTACCTGGATAATACGTTGCAATTGATACAGTCGCATGTGTAGACCATCGAAATCATTTAGGAAAAATTCTCTTACACCATAATTATTGTTTACTTGAACTAATAACGTGAAGGCTTGTTCTACAGGCATCTAAAAATATTTTTTTAAATAATTATTATGTATGCTAAATAAGAATTTAAAATATTACTTTCTAAAGAAGGAAACATTTGAAGTTTGTTTAACTTTATCCATTCGCTGAACATAAAACAGCAACACGTACATATAACAAGAAGGAGAGAGAGAGAGACAGAATGTGCTAGACACTAACATCCTTCTAAATTTACATCAGTCTAATACGAATGCACAAAGTAAAACATTGGTACGAGATGATTAATATTGAGGCATATTCAGAAATTCTTCATGTATATGACTGACACTTTTATTGCCACATTAATCAAACAACTGACAAAGTATCTGATTGATAAAGTAGTCAAATTAAGTTGATTTATTTCTTAACATGCTCTAATGGGCTGATAAAATACTTACTAATGACTGTAGGAACAAACATCCCTACTTGTTTAACTACTGTATACTTAGACTTTATAAAATTTTCCAATGTAAATCCTAAGTACTCATCACGCATAGACTTATTGAATGACAATAAGAAAAATGTCTGCATGCGAGTCAATTATTCTCCACCGATAGCTATTACTTTGACTTGATGGTATATCGCAATGATCCAAATGGCTACACTGGTTGAAACGAATGTTCCTGAAGGTTTCATAATGTCATAAAGATCGTTTGGATAGAGGTTAGACTAGAAGCAGTCACTAGCATAGTGAAGGGGAGGGGCTGTTTAGGCAAAATCGTACTACTGGTAAATAGGGATGTAACAGTAATAAGAGGTTTCTCTCATGAACAACCAACAAGCCGACTATGCTGTCTGTATTCTCTGGGGAGAAAGGTTAAAAACTGTCGACTCCGAAAATTATACATCTCGACTTATATTGTGACGGTTTGTATTCTGTGGAAAGAACTCTAAAAGGCCATATGTGCCCGGCATCAAGTTGTTATCCCCAGTGTTCTGTGATCACGCAACACTAATGTTGCTTCTGTTTCAGGTACCCCAAATAGAAATCAATTCTAGGGTAGAGGCATCCAGGAAGTAATATGAGTGTTTCATGGGGTTCAAATCAAGGATTAAAACAGTGTCATTGAAATGTCATCACTTATCGTCTTTGGTTTTGGGTCTTCCATACCAGAGAATAACAACCAAAGTGATTATTTGCATTATGTATATAGCAGAATTGGAATTCATCTGTAAAACATTGATTATTCAAAGCCGGAAAAATACTTCTATTTTTCTGATTTGCCTTGTGTTTTTGACAAAGAGTAAATGTATCTGTGCTAATGAGAACGGTTTTGAGCCATATCACTAATAGTCTCCAGTCACTGTAGACCTGGATACCAAGCCAGATAATCTCTACCTTCTACGTGGCTCTGAACAACAGTCAAAGACCTCATAGATTGATCCTAAGTTTTGATTCGACCCTCCCTAACCCTTTTTCAAGACAACCCTATGCCAGCTAACACGACTCGAGGAGAAAGATAAGGACTAGGCATGTGTACTACGTGTCCTAGCTGTCCTAATCAATGTAGCATCAAAACCTTACGGATTTACTTTCCTTCATTACCTAACACTTTACGTCTAACCCTAATATTACTCACCATTTAAAAACTAGACGGCAGAAAAATGTGATTTTCTGTTAATGAAAGCGTATGCAACAATGTGAACTTACATGAAGTAGTAATACAGCAGCAAAAAATGTTAATCCTTGACAATAGCCAACTTCTTCATCGTATAATGCATAAGCGCGGCTAACTAGGAAAAGGCTTTCTTGACCAATTTTATCACGGAAGAAACTATGAGCTGGGAATGTACGAGCTAGATCACGACGTATAACATCATCATGTTTACATGGCTAAATGAAAAATAAACAGTATTTATTTAAATAAACAATCTTATTATTCATATGATTAGAGAAAACATGAACTCTTGAAGACTTTAGGTCTACACAGTGAGACAACGAAATAAAACCCAAGTGAATACAATGAATACAATACATAAATTGGCCTGAAGCATTCAACAAAAATAAACAAGAAAGAATTTTCAACTGTCCTTTAACTGATTTTGATGTGCTAACTACTTATAGAAGTGAGTCAGTGGTCCAGCGGTAGTATTCTCGCCAACTAAGCACGTGGTTTGAGTTCAACTCCCGACCGATGCACTCCTAAACCAAACTTCAGTTGGTAGTAGACCCAGTAAAAAGGTTATGCAGAGTGTGTGGTTAATAAACCCACCCTGCGAAAACAATACCACCGCTACTGAAACTTCAATGCTCAAGAAGAAAGTCCTATATTCTACTCGGAATGCACAGAAATGAAAGAAACAAAATAATTTGTAGACATATAGAACAGTTCAAAAATTATGACCAGTAAGTACGTAAAAGCAAGAAAGTATCTTTAAGATGAAATTGTGTATAAGTATTTTTCCAAACCATCACTGTTTTACACTTCTTCATTGTCCACTTATGTTCTCCTATCATGCTGTTATATTAAAAACAAAGCAACAACAAAATATGATTAAGTGACACTGAGAAGTACTGTCGATGATAAGTACCTAACAAATCTGAAGATGACGTTTTTGTGTTTGAGGGGATTTGATTAATCTCAAAACAGATCGATATCAGCTGAAAAAAAACAGTTTGTTTCAAGTTTGACTACGGATTCATGTCAGTTAGGGAACCACTGAAAACTATGGAGTACTGAACAGCTGTTCCGTCCTAGTTTGGGACTCTTCGGCAGTACGCATCCACCACGGGTGTTTGAACCCAGGAACTTCTGGTTACAAGGTGAACTCGTTGACTACTCAGCCACCGGTACGCAACTCAGTGGCCAGTCCATGAATCCTACATTGGAAGGACAGAAAGAAGGGCTTCTATCCGGTTTTCGGAACATATTCCAAGAAACCTGTGCCTGAAAGGAAGCAAATATTCTCAGAGTGCAATTACCAGACATATTGTTGATACTGGTCATCTCGTAGAGATTTCTAAGTCCTTCAAAATATTAAATAGACAAAGGACAGCAAATTTACTACGATTTGCCGAAGCAATAGCAATCAAACGATTCAAACGAGACTTATGCATACAGAAAGACAGTGTGATTAACCTCTCACTGCCTTGGTAACTGAATTTTGATTTTGATTACATTAATTAGTCATCTAATTCAGTGATCTCAATTCATTGAGCAAATTTCAATCTTATACACTGTAACCGCTTTTGTTTTTTGAGTTGCTATGTGAACCTAAAAGCTAACACTGTTTGTTAATTTTTTCTGTTTTCTGTCTTACCCTTCCCCCCTCTTTTCTACTTTGAAAGTGTATAAATTGATGATGAAAACGTAAACTAAAACTTGCAATGCTTACATTTTGGATGCTTCACTTTTATAGTATTTCTTCTCCACTACTATTTAAACATTAAAGTGTGTTATTATCATCTATATAACCATTGTAATTTCAGGTAGTCTGCAGATGATGAGAACCTGTGAAATAGGATGATATCATTTTATACTGCAAATCTGATCTTTCTTTCGCTATCGAAATTTATCAAGTGAACGAATTCTAACTTTAGCGCAACCACCAGCCAATGTCATCGGCGAGTATATTTGTCCTCACACCTCACCCGACGTGGACCCCACTGGTCACGACTTCTCACTAGAACTCCAAGCAACTTTTTTCTGTAGCCAGTTACTAGCATCCATCATACTAACTTTCAAGAGTTAGTTTGTAGGGACTTGATATGTTTCAAGTTTGATCAAGGACTGGTATCAGTTAGAGAACAAATGAAAATCAAGGAGTATTGGACAGCTGTTTCATCTTAATTTGAGAGGTCGTGACCAGTGGGAGTCACCAGGTCGAGTGTGAAGACAAATACTAGCCGAAGACATTGGCTGATGGTGGCGCTAAAGTTGTGAATTGACAGAAGTTAGAATTCACTGGATTCTGACTCAAATGGCTAAATGCGTGTTTCGCAACTTGAAGGTGCTGGGTGGGTTCAATCCCTGGCGGGGAGGGTCATGAATGCGTTAAGGCTAGGAGAGTCTCAAACAAGGACGAAACAGCTATCCGATACTACCTAGTTCTCAATAGTTCTGTAATTGACATCAGTTCGTGGCCAAATTTCAAAAAATCGAATCCCTACAGACTTAGTCTTCTATAAAATAACTGTTCGGTCGGTCGGTCAGTCTTCGACATAGAACTTTGCACATATGTGAGGCAGTTCAAGTCGCCACACTCCATGTAGCACACAAAGCAAGAGAAGAAATGCTTAATATAGTCAGTAAACAGAGGTGTGAGACAAAGGAATAGTAATACGGAGAACAAAACAGCTTAATTGGAAATCATAAGTCACAAGGAGTGGATGCATCTGCACCAGCCATTGAGAACGATTTTGAGCCATGTCCCCAATTGTTTCCAACTATTGGTGTTTACCGTCCCGATGACCCCAACCAGTCAGGAAGTCTACACCTTCCTACGTGGCTTAGACTAACTGTTGTGGATTTCATTGACTGGTGCCATGTTTTCGTTTGACCGCCGCTAGCTGTTTTCCAGCCTGGCCCTATATCAGCTAACTGTTAAAGACTGGGAAACAGAGATAACTAATCCATTACAGTTTGACACCCTTTATTACTTCACTTTTAGTAGCCCACAAAAGGTTACAGAGTTATCACCTTTTTATTTCATTCTGTAGTCCGAAGAAAATGAACTATTCTTGTTTCTTTTCTCACTAGATTCTAACTTGTTGAGAAACAAACAGCACTGGATAACTACGTTCTTCGCATTCATCAGATGATAGTCGTTCCACATCAGTGACTGTCACAAGTTAGAAAGTCATGGTAAGTGATGTGCTCATTCCGGGTTCTTGACTCAATTTCATACACAGAGCTCTCATTATCAACAAGTCACATACCGTTACGATATCAGGGCTATTCAGTGCTTCTAGAATTACAGTAGTTCTACAGCGGATTTCGAGTGGTGATGAAATCCACTCTTCATCTATCGATTTATTTTCTATAATACAGTAGGAGTAATCAGTGTAAAATATAAGATAAAAACAGTGACATTAATTTTTTTATTATCACTGTCTTGCCATGAATCTAATCTTCAACAATCAAACTTTTTGGACAATTTAGCTAACGATATTATCATGAAACCTACTGAATGTTTCTACAGATATATGTGGTTGTGTATAGACGAACAGACATGTATATAATTTTGCTTTTTTTAAAAAAGACAAACCGAATTGTTTATCAGTTATTCTACTTTCTGGATTATTGATTTCTATCACCGAATCGATTAGCATACTAACAGAAATCGGACAACAAACAAAGTATAATAAATAAATAAACACTTGGAAAAAAAAGATATTAGGGGTATATTCAACTAACTACCACAACATAAAGTATTGGTTGGATAAAATGGTAATATTTCAAATCAATTGAAACAACAAGTTGAAATGAACGCTTCATAACTGAACATATAGTTGGGATTAGAACCTTAGTTATTCGGAATAGACCTTTCATGCATCGGTGTCTATAAGCCACACTTATTACATGGAGGCCAATGATGCTACCCAGATACTAAGCAGCTGAAGTGAATGGAGTTGGATTTGAACCCGAAGACTATTCAGTGAAAACCAAGCACTTGGGAGAATGAGATACAGTAATATTTACTCAAAAGCTATGCAAATCTGCAGAGTATTAATTAGAAAGTACAATTTAGTTTACAGTGATGCTCGTTATTTAAAAATGTGTAAGAGTTAATTTCGATTTAACTGTGGTCGTTTCAGCAGCATGACTTGATTATAAAATAATCATCACTATAGTTAAGTTTGTGCATCGCTGGCACAGCGGTTAGGACGCCCGCCAACCATGCAAAAGGTCCGGGGTTCGATACCCGGCCGACTCACTCCTTTACCTCGCTAAGCCAGTAGTAAAAGCTGGTAAGGAGGAAAAGTTGGGTATGAGGCTAGCGACCCCATCCTGTAAAAATGAACACTGCTACAGAAACTTCAAGCCTCTAGCTTGAAGCCCTATGTTCCACTGGGAACGTAAAGGAATAAAAAATAAATGGTAGTGTTATCCAAGATGCGCGTTTCGACCTATTTCGAACTCAACAGGTGGATATACTTGCACCCTAGTGAATAGTGATGACATCTTCCCTGAGACTCGAATCCAGCACCCTATCCCTTAGATTACTTGCCTACATACAAGGACTATACGCGTCAACAGAGCATTTTGGTCCAATAACAAGTCGATAGATGAAAGATACAAAGTAGCTTAGACAGATGCTTCATCTACATCAGTAAAACCAAATGTGGGATTTTATACCATAACCTGACTAACTGAGTTTCAACATAGGACTTTGCACAGGAGTACAGAACAGTTTAATTTGCCACACTCCACAAATAGCACACAAGGGTAGAGAAAAGTAAGAAAAAAGAAACTCAAGAGAATTAAAATTAACAGAAATGTGAGGGAGGAAAATAATAACATGGAAAAACATGGCGGTTTAGTGGATATGGGAGATCACAAAGAGTGAATGATTCTGAGCGAGAGAACGATTTTGAGACGTATCATCACTCCTCTACGTGGCCGGTTTAAACTAACAGTCAAAGACATCACATGCACTGATGCCAGATTTCGTTTTACTTACCCCTAACTTTTTTCCCAAGTAATCCTATGTCAGCTAGCATGGCTCGTCGAAAAAGACGATGACTCGGAATGAGCACGCAAAACGTGTCCTAGCCATCCCGATCTAAGTAGCTTCACAATCTCATTGACTGGCTTTCCTTCGTTACCTACCACACTACGGATAGGCTCAGTATCGCTCATCATGTTGCACCACTTAACACAGGAAACAGAGCATAAACATCTGTGGTCATGTATTTGAATGATTTTGAAATATCCCAAACATCTTTTGATTTACAAGTTGATATTATTTTGCCAACTTGCGACCGAATAATAAAACTCAAATATACACCCTTCTAAATGTTAAATCTATTTTTCACACATTTTAACCCCATTTATTTTAGCATCAGTATCAGGTAAAAGTGAGTACAGCGGGAAAGATAAAGCTAATACTTCCTTTCCGTGAAAGTTTATGAAAACCAAAAAATAACAGACAGTAGTTAAAAATGCAATCAGACAAAGAAACAAAGTAAAGGCTATGTAAATCCTTTCATAAAAGTGTAACAATTCACATCGATTAAATAGAGAAATCAACTGCAGTGTATATCTCAACAACTACTTGCATTCCATCATTTAGAGATGAGCCACACTTATTGCCATGAGAGCTAATGATACTCTACCTGGTTATCCACACCTTGGTAAGTGAAAAAAACCATAGACTCATTCAGAATATACAGAGGGAGATAAAGCCACAAATAAACGAATATTAACAAACTGCTGAAAATCTGAAATCTGAATCATTATACCTGTATCTTAGCAACTAATTTAACATTGCAGACTCGAATATTATCTATTGAACACTTCAAAGAATTCAAGGGTTATATAGATTTAACCTATGATCCAAAGCTTCACGGACTGATACTATACATAACTAATTTGTAAACCAAACCTACTGTAAATAGCAACATACATAACAGGAGAAGGAAGGCTGGCAAACGTGACATATCTTTTTAAACACCTTAGTCAATATGAATTTTTAACCTCGTCAATCAAACAACTTTTGTTAGGTAGTACTTACAGCTTAGACCACTAGTATACGTCAGTAATCTTATTATGACAATTCGGTTTGACAGCCTGTAATTTCATTATTTTATCTTGTAGTAGATGTATGGAATAAAATGAAATTTGTTGAATAAATTCGCCCTCTGACAGAAAATCCTTAGCTGACTTTTTCGTCCAATAGGTGTGATACAAATTCCAATAAGGTAAGATGGTGAATCTATTCAACCAGATTATCTAGATAATATGAGTTCTTATCCTTTAGCAGTAAGTGTATAAAAGTGGATTGTGTTTGTCTAACTATAGAGTTGAATGGGAAAGGGTTTGTGATTAGCTATACACCACCTTCCAAAAACTGTTAGATTTGTGACTGAAGAATAAATCAGCTAATTAGGACGTATTTACTGGGAAATGACTTTTCTAATGTCAAGCTATGAGAGCCACACATATTGTGTAACTGAAACAGATGAAGTAGGATAACTACCCACAAACCTATCAGGATGAAAGCAGTTAAGAGAACTCTGTGAATTCGACAAAACAAAACCACTCATTATATTGTGCCACATTTGTTGTCTTTTATAGTCAGTATCTTGCCCTATTCAGGTAGGTGGTTACCTGGGGTTTTAGTGAGAAGTCGTGACCAGTAGGTGCAGCAGGTCGGGTGTGAGGACAAATACTCGCCGAAGACATTGGCTAAGGGTCGCGCTATGTCGTGAATTGGCAGAAGTTAGAATTCATGGACCATTGGATCGGGTATACGAGCTCTCTTTGTAACCAGAAGGTCCTGGGTTCGAATCCCGGTGGGTGCGTACTGCTGAAGAGTCCCAAACTAGGGCAAAATAGCTGTCCAGTACTCCCAGGTTTTCCAATGGTTCTCTAACTAATGTCAGCTCATGATGAAAATCCTGTCACCAACCAAATCCCTACAAAACCAACACTTGAGTATCCTTATTCTTTTGAAGAAAATAATCTTTTGAGTTCTAAAGTTTTCGATATGGGGTAAAAGTACTTGTAGTGAAATGAAAAAAATAGCTTAATGTTTAAAAGAGGATTTACGGTTAAATAAAATGTTTAAAAAAATTGATATATTTTGAATAAGAAAATCCCCAAGGCGTGAATATATAGTAAGAAGATTTGATAGCAATATTACCGAAAACTGCACTTTAAAACACTACACGAAAAGAAGAGGACAGGCATACATTGATATCAGAACTCCTGCCTATGTGACTCATGTATTGGACTGATTTATAGTCTGGATAACTGCAACTCTTTTCCAAGTTCATCCTACTCCAGCCAACATTGCCTATCGAGTGATGATGAGTGGACGTCCCTAACAGGTGTACTAGCCAGCCACCTTAATCCATGAAACAGTACAACTTTATGGACCTACATTTTCCTCGTTACCTAGATAATCTGCCCCTAATGTCATTATTACTTTCCCATGTTGCATCCACTGTGCGAACAAGTGAACAAAGATATTTTTATTCAAGTATTGGTTGTGTAGGGATTATTTGACTGGTTGGAGGGTTTCATCATGAGCTGACATCAGTTAGAAAACCATTGGAAAACCAGCTGGGAGTACTGGACAGTGATGGACATTTATATTCAAAAACATACAATCTTATCACACCCTTTTTCAGTGGTTGTACTTCACAAACATAAAGTTCAATGGACAGAACTATCATCGTTTAATGGGTAATACTGGATACCATGAGTGCGTAAAACATAATACAATCCATTTAATGCAAAGATTTCGACAGTAACCAGTTAATAAGGATTGATAAAAACTGACAAATAAGTAAAGGTGGTCAACAATATATTCAGCCATTTTACTCCTCAGCCTTGAACGAATAGTCCACACAAACCATTGGTGTTACATTGCTTTAAGTATGACAGAAGCAGAACACTTACAAAAAGCATTTAAGTTTATCCTCTGGATGTTCAGAAGACTGTACATTCTATCGGTGTCTTTATATAGAACTACAGCATCTGTGTATTGAGTCAATCAAATCATTTACTGATTTCTAGTGACACCAAAGTCCAGTAGAACATTCATAATTAAATTACATTAATAAACAGAAACACACACACACATACACAAAATGAAAACACAGTAACCTTACTTTAGTAATCAGAATTCGATAAGCATCCATTAAGCCAGTTTCATCAACAGGACAACCAGATAATAATTGCCAAACTTCAGCTCTTAAAGCATCTGGTATACCACGACTAACTAATTTTTTAATTCTTTGACAAAATGCAGATCCTAAATGAGAAATATGCGGACCAGAAGAACCACTGTGTAATAATTCTGTTCTTAAAGAATTTGTCGACACATTAAGACCATTAGCTTGATCTTGTCTTACTTTATTGTGCCATTCAGTAACTAAGTGACCCCATTCAATAAGTAATTGATCATCTGTCACTTCTCTGGATACAATTCCATTACCACTCATTAAGGGTTCATTATCATCATCTGGAAAAAAGAAACGATGAAGAAGAAAGTAGTATATTCATTACATGTCAACTTTTAAATGAGTTAAACTATTAGGAACTATGAAGGAAAAAAAACATTAACTCAGAGTAAATAAAAAATGAGAAGTTATTATGATAAAAGTTTGCCTCAATGTGAATATTTCATATAACCATGGTTATGTACATTCTGTGAGGAATATACTAATTCAAATAAATAAATAAATATTTGATAGTAGATAATTAAATGTGTGTATATTTCCCTATGTATTTAGGTACTGTCATGACAACAGCCTCTTTTTTTAGTCCATTATAACATTAAATAATAAGTTACACTAGAGTAAATACACAATTTACATAGGTGTATATTTGAGACAACCCTATAACCATGCCAACTGGTCTACACACCCACTTTACATCACGTTACAGGCGGCCTTCGAGTGAAGTTTGAATGGGAAGCAACGAAGTAGCATGGAGGTGATCATGTGAGGAGGAAATAAAAGCTTATAAACAATTGTGGAACCAGTTAGAAAAAATCACAGAGATCACTGAGAATCCAAGACACGAATAATATATGATCATTTAAAAAACCCTAATTTTCACACTCCTGAATCGACCATCACCTGCAATTCGCCCATAATTGCCAGTGAACACTAGTCCTCAAACAAAAGCACACGTCTGAATGAGATGAAGCTACTGAAGTCCGGGAAGGCACCAGTATCAGACAAAATCACTCCTGAGGCATTGATAAACGGATCAACAGACTGCAGCAGATAGGCTGACGCCATTATTGTAAAAGGTTTGAAAGGAAGTAAAGGTGCCTACTGATTGGAAGAAAAGCTGGTTGCATTATCAAGCTGCCAAAGAAGGGAGACTTACGCCTATGAAAGAACTGGCGTAGAATAATGCCAGTCTTGTCCACACCAAATAAAATACTAAGTCACGTTATCCTGCAGAGAATAAAGGATGCACTGGATGCAGGACTCCACCCGGAACAAGCTGGATTCAGGAAAGGCAAATCAGTTGCTGACCAAATTGCAACTCTACACATCATCATCCAACAGAGCATAAAATAGCAGTCAAACCTCTCTCCACTTCAAATTCATCGACTTCGAAAAGGACTTCAACAACGTCCATCGAAGAAGTAATCTGAAAACTGCTTCAACACTATGGCGTGTGGTGACCAAGTGTTTACCAACCTCATTCAGCAGCTGGCTGTATGACAATGCCACGTGTCAGGTAATCCACAACGGAAAACTCAGCGGAGCCACTGAAGTGAAAACAGAAGTGAGACAAGGCTGGCTGCCTGTTATAACCCATGATATTCCTGATTGTGGTGGACTGACTGGATTATGCGTCAGACCGTGCACGGGAGCGAGGAGACAGGAATACCCTCCACTACTAATAAGAAGACCCTAGAGGATCTGGTTTTCGCGCGTGGATGATTCGTGTCCAGTGTCAAACACACTAAACGACTTCCAGGCGAAAACTAACAAATTGACTGAAGAAGCAGGTCGCGAAGACAGGGCTCCATGTGAACATAGAGAAGACGACGATGGTGATGAAGATGACTGACCAATAACTACGAGCGCCAATCAATATCAGTGGAAGATATTTGAAAAAGGTCAATTCCTTTACATATTTGGGCAGTATCGTTTCAACTATAAGCGATGTGGATGTCAAAACCAGTCTGGATCATAATTGCAAGACAGAGTTTCATCACTCTGAAATCAGTTTGGAAATCTCCTACACTAAGCATAAAGAAAAAACATTCGAGTTTTTAACACCGATGATAAGTCAGTCATTGCATCTATGTGGATAGGAAAATTGGCCAGCACGTCACGTAAAGCATTTTCAACAGCCTACAGAAGACTTTTATCAACAACTGCATTCGATAGCTCCATACTGAAAATCAGATAAGACAAGAGGAACTAGCAACAACAAACTATGCGAACGAAGCAATCACCAACATATTGGTCGACAAATATTCCGAAGAAAATGAAGATGGATTGGACACAAGCTGAGGAGGCTGTCGAATGACATCGTGCTCCAGGCCAGTACATGAGTGGGACCCAAATGGGAAACGACGAGTTGGGTGTCGGTCTGAGTGTGACATGGAAGCGGCTGTGTGGAGGAAATGAGAGACTATAGTCAATAGTGGATTCAGATAAAGAAGATCGCATTGAATAGGATAAATTGAAGATGTGTTGTTGAATCCATATGTTCCACTTGGAACACAAGAAAACAACAATAATAAATATATTATTTTCACTCTTGAATAATGACTTCAACTATTTTAACCACATGCATATAATGCATCAAAGATATGTGTGAGTAGACAATGGGAAAGCGCTTCTTGTTGTTACACCCTATGATCAATTAACCGAAAACAACATTTGAAAGGGAATTAAAAAGAAACAAAACACCCCTAGGTTTGCAAATTACGATTGTAATAGAGAAGAAAATGAAGCTCCATATCTATTAGAGGTTTCATTGCCTCCGAGTGACCTCCTCAATGATCCTTCGTTGGTCGAATACCTGTTAAATATTCATATTTTTGTGCGCAAATGGCTGAAGAAAAATATAATTTTAATAATATATGTATTGATGAATTTATTACAATAATGATACTCCACAAAGAAACAGGTTGGTAGAAGAAGCATCAAAGATATGAAGGACTTTAGGTGAACATAGAGAAAACAAAAGTGATGAAGATTCCTGGGCAACACCAACAGCAGCAACAATAACAGACAACAATCGACCAGCATAAATGGGAGGAATCTGAAAGAAGCAGCCTCCTTCACCTATCTCCCTACCTGGGAAGCATCGTTTCAACTACAGGCGGAGCTGACGAGGATATGAAAGCAAGGATCGGGAAAGCAAGGCAAGCTTTCATTACTCTCAAGCCTCTGTGGAGATCAATAGCACTCAACATCAAAAATAACATCCGAATTTTCAACTCCAATGTGAAGTCAGTGCTACTATACGTGTCATACGCGTCATAAAGAGCATCTCAAACAAACTACAAACTTTCATCAACAGCTGCCTTCACTCAATACTCAAAATAAGATGGCCAGAAAAGATCAGCAACAGGGATATCCAAGAGCAAAGCAACCAGGAACCGATTGTGAAACAAATATGCAGGAAGAAATGGAGATGGATTGGCCATACTCTGAGGAAACCATCAAGTGACATCACTAGACAAGCCATCGCTCGAGTGGAACCCGAAAGGGAAGCGGTGAGTTGGTCTTCAGTGCAAGCATGACATGGAGGAGGTTATGTGGAGAGGAGTTGGCAGTATGTGGGTAGACGTGGAGCCAGGTGAAAACGTTGGCAGAGAACCGAACGTAATGGAGACGCGCGGCTGAAGCCCTATGTTCCTCTAGGAACTAAGTGAATTAATAATAATAATAATCCGCAAGTTTCGGAGCGAAACATCAGGCTTCAACAGCACATTTCTATTTTATCTTGTTCTCTGCGGTCTATTTTAACTGGTTCCACGTTTGCCTATAACTCCTCATCTCCTCCTCACACGATTTTATCGGTGTCATCACCAGTTTTCCAAATCCTCGTTTCCAATCCCGGTTGCTATCTAGGGTACGTGCATTGATGAATACTTGTTCTGTATTCTATAGAAGCTTGTGCGAGTAATACAGCTTTTTTGAGAGGAGTGATCCACTCGCCGACACAATATCAACGAGTGCTATCGATAATTCATAATTAGTACTGTGGTGAGAGATGGTTGCTAGCCAAATTGGTTGACAGTAATTGAGGTCAATGTTAGTCATGTGAAAACAAGGTCAAGATGGACAGGCGGATACAGTTAACATATAGATGGACTGATATAGCCACAAGAGATGCAGGGTTAACTTTGTGTGAGAAACAACCAATCAACAGGCTGTATTTTCTACTAACATTAACCTACAATAATGTACATCAAAATCTATAAATACGTGTTGATTTTCCGTAATAAACGTTCTGTTGCCTGGCTCTTGTCTTCTGTTGTTACAGTACTATTCTAGTTTACTTTTATCGGTTAAATTAATTTGTCATTTGCAGCACAGATTAATAAAAACAAAATCAAAAAAACAATAATCTAAAAGTGTTCTATTGATGAATGAAGCGAAGCCCGAAGAAAATGAATGTTAATTTTCTCCTTAAACAATATACTTTCTATAAAGTAAATTTACAAAATTAGATTAGATATATTGTATTCTATCTCTGTACTGTTTTTTTTTCTGTCTACTAAATACCTCCTAGCTACGGTATTGGTCACATGAATGTGAACTGAGTTATTTTCGCATGCAAAAATGACTGCTGACTGACTAGGTCTATATCTGTATACACCAACAACACAAAAAGTAACCCTACTAACAAATAACAATGATTATACACAACACAATGGAATACTAATGAACATAAATCATATAGTTAAACAGATCTGACAGACTATTTATCATTATGAAAATAACCACTCACTCAATAAAAAGGCGATAGTTGTTATAAGTAGAGTTAGTTGATACACTTAAGGTTTAGTATTTGAAAAAGATACACAACTGAAGATGAAAAAACATTGAAAGAATTTGAGAGTTAAACATGAGCTCTAATCTAATGCGCTAATTATACTTTCAGTGATGTCCCCCACCCCCAATACAAGGTGAATACTGAGACTTTTAACCATTTATGTAAGGAATTAAGAAATCATTAAGTGAAAAACGAAAGAAATCAAAAGAAATCTGAATTGTTGTCAACATTATCATGAAAATCAAAAACTCACAATAATAACACACAAGCTTTACAATACTTCTAGTAGGCAATGTCTGAAAAGCGCTCACTCACCCTGCAATAAACAGTACACGATGATGGATCAGGGTTACATACAATAGAGAATAATCCTAAGTGCTAGAATATGAGAAAAGCTAATGAACTACAGCATACATGTGAGTCAGTAGCATAGCGGTTAGGACGCTCGCCGACCATGCACATGGTCCGGGATTCGATCCC